GAAAAAATGTTCAACATCACTGGTCATTCGAGAGATGCAGATGAAAACAACACTGAGATTTCACCTTACCCCAGAAAGAATGGCTGCTGTCAAGAAATCAACCAATATCAAATGCTGGCAGGGGTGTGAGGAGAAAGGAACCGTTCTCCATTGTTGGTGGGAGTGCAGACTGGTGCAAGCACTGTGGAAATCAGTATGGAGATACCTCAAACAACTAGGACTAGAGGTCCCATTTGACCCAGCTCTTCTCCTGCTGGGCATCTTCCCAAAATAATTAAAAGAATCATACCACAGCGATGTATGTGTACCCATGTTTGTAGCAGCACAGTACATAATAGCTAAAGCTTGGAAACAGCCCAAGTGCCCATCAACTGGAAACTGGATAAATAAGATGTGCTTTTTTTATAAAATGGAGTACTACTCAGCCGTAAGGAATGAGAAACCATAGACATTTATAGCTAAATGGATGCATATTGAGGCCATACTCATAAGTGAAATAGGACACACATGTTTAAATACCAAATAGTTTCTCTAGTATTGGAAACTGAAAGTGTAAATAAGAATTAAAATGATTAAAATGAATAATTAAAAGTTTTCTCTTTCAACTGAAAATCGAATTGAAAATTAATCTTCCATTGCCTAGAAACATGTGTATTAAGTTATTTCCTGTGTAACATTATTAAATATCCCTTGGAGACAGCAATTCTTGACTTTTAGGTTTTAATCACAGTTGTTCAGCATCATATACATCGCACATTAATTAGACTGTCAATAACTGTAATTGCTTATGTTTTAATTTTTATTTTTTGGATGTGGTATGCAGGGTGCTTTCAGCAGTATACTTTGAGGAGATGAAATTTTGTTTCGAGAGGTGGGCTATTAAAAATCTCAATAAACTAGACTGAGAAAATACATTAGAATTGCTGGATATTCACTTTTTAAATAGTTACAAGTTGGAATCTTGTTGAAAATTTATGATTCATGGTTTCTTTTTCTTGTTCTTGTTGGTCTGTCTGCCTACAACATTATTATTTTTTTTTTTTGGCTCTTTAAGAAATTTAATAGCTCCTCTTCTAGGTAAAGTTGAAAAACTTTCATAACTAGTAAAGTTCTAGTAAATCTGTGAATTTATCCTCATTCTCTTTTGGTTAAAGAGAATTGGCTCATGGCTAAAAAGCATGAGGCCAATCTAGAGAGGCTGATGTAAATAGAAGACTTTGGTAAATTCCCTTATGTCATATGAGAGTGTAAGTCACTTCTCACTAACAAGGCCCAGAGCTGGTTAGAAAGCCCATTTTGAAGATTCAAGCAGAACAATAAAACTAAAGGAAGAAAAATAAGTATCTCTGACTTTAAGTTTTCTTTCTTATTACCACATTAATTCTAAGCATCTGAAGAAATAATCTGTCATCTCATATAGATAATGAACTACCACTTCTCTGTTAACTCTGAAATGTATGTTGTATCTAACAACATAAGTTATCATCCACTTGTGTATCATACACTTGTATCTAACTTATACTTAAGTGAATTATATATGAACAAAGAACAAACCTTAATGGAAAGGTGCAACCAAACAAAAAGATTTTAATCCTAGTTTTTAGTTGTTGGTCTTAGGCAAGTAAAAAATAAACAGAAATATAGCCTCAATTTCCTGTTTGTAAATATACATACATGAGCATGCTGTTTTGAGAATTTGAAACGATAATTGCTGGTCTTATACAGCTAAGTAGATTGTTGGTTACTAGAGGCCAGGGACAGAACGAGTGAACTTGTAGGGATGGAGAAAGGTTGATTAATGGGTATTAAGTTACAGTTACATAGGAGCAAGAAGCTCTGGGGCACTGTTACACAGAATAGTAACTATAGATAACAATAATGTATTGTACATTTTAAGAAACTAAAAGAAAGAATTTTGAAATGAAATAAGTGTTTGAGAAAAATATTTTAACCTGATTTAAACATTATGCAGTGTATACATGTATTGAGCATTACATGGTACTTCATTAATATGTACAACTTTCATTTATTTATTTTGTGTTGTGCACATTCCTGGGATTGAATCTAGACACTGGCATATACTAGGCAAGTGCTCTACCCCTGAGCTTTATTCTCATTTCAACATTTATGCTTTTATCTATTAGTTAAAAATTTTTTAAAAATCAGAAGTAATGTAAATTGATGCTTACATAGACAACAATAGTGATGTTCATCAGTTTTATTTATCTTATACACTCATTAATATCTAAATGCTATTTAAGCATATAGTAGTTTTATTTGTATATAGCTGTCACTATATGTGTAAAGAAAATATAATTCTGAACAGATATAAAACTTAGATATTTTAATTGTAACTTTCTTTCTTTCAGAATTACTTACTGTCACCTACCTTTCCAGAGTAAATGGCTCTATGTTGGAACAGAAAGAGGAAATACACATATTGTAAATATTGAATCTTTCATTCTTTCCGGATATGTTATCATGTGGAACAAAGCAATTGAACTGTAAGTTTGAACTTGAATATCACTTTATTGGGCTTAAATATTTTGTATAATTATGTAACATATACAGTACATTAAATTATAGTTATAGATGGGATGTCTGTGGTTAGACAGTTGAATGAACATGGAAATCCTCATAGGCTATTGTTTTAGTAATTATCCACATTATTTTTTTGAATAAACATTTATTTATTAACAAAGTATCTGATCTTCGGTATTATTTTGAACAATTTCTTCCCATTTCACAACATTTACTATACATTTTAGTCTTATTTACACTTTCACCAGAGAGATTATGTGATATTTACTCGTGTCTGATTTATTTCACTTAAGAAAATTGTCTCAAGGTGCACCCATTTAGCTATAAAGGTCTCAAGTTTATCCTTCTATATGGCTGAGTAGTACTCTATTATATAAAACCTATTTTTTTATCCATTTTTCGGTTCATGGGAATCTGGGTTGTTTCCAAGATTTAGCTATTACAAACTGTGCCATTATAACTATGGGTGTGGATATATCACTTTTCTTTGATGCTTTTAATTCTTTTGGGAAGATACTCATCAGGGTAGCTGGGTTAAATGGGACCTCTAATCCTAGTTTTTAAGGAATCTCTACACTGATTTCCACAGTGGCTGCACCAGTCTGCACTTCCACCAACAGTGGAGAAGGGTTCCTTTTTCCCCACAGCCTCCCCTGCATTTGTTATTGATTTTTTGATAATAGCCATTGCATCGCTCAGATGACCAGTGATGTTGAACAGTTTTTCACATATTTATTTGTTGTTTCTACTTCTTCATCTGAGATGAGTATTAATCTCAGATACCTATTTTTGGATTGGGTCTTCAGATTTAGGGGATCTGATATTTTTCAATTCTTTATATGTTCTAGATATTAGTCCTTTATCTGAGGGACTACTGGCTAAAATTTTTTCCTACTCTGTGGGTTGTCTCTTCAGCATGTTGGTGATTTCTTTAGTGGTGCAAAAACTTTTTAATAGGATGAGACCCTGCTTGTTGATTCTTTGCACTGTTTCCCACACAGTATGGGTTTTGTTCATGAATTTGTTGCCTACCTCTATGTCCTCAAAAGTTGTACCTATTCTCTCTTCCAGCAGATTTAGTGTTTCTGTGTTAATATTTAGATCTTTGATCCATTTTTAGTTTAGTGCATGGTGAGAGACATGGGTCTAGTTTTAGTCTTTGGCATGTAGGAAGCCAGTTTTTCCAGCACCATTTATTAAAGAGTCTATCTTTCTTCCAGTGTATGTGTTTAGACCCTTTGTCAAAGATAAGGTGGCTGAGCATGTTTGGGGTTGTTTTGCCATCTTCTAATCTGTTCCACTGATCCTTAGGTATGGTTTTTCTGGGTTTTGCCAGCACCATACTGTTTTTATCACAATAGCTGGCTCTCTGGTGTAATTTTAAGTCAAGGATTGTGATGCCCCCACCTTTCCTTTGTTGCTCAGAATTTATTTTGCTATTCTAGGTCTTTCTGGTTCCACATGAATTTTAAAATGTTTTTTTCTAGTTCTGTGAGGTATGCTAATGGTATTTTAATTGGGATTGCATTTAATCTGTATAATAATTTTGGGAGTATGGCCATTTTCACTACTTTGGTTCTTCCTTTCCAAGAGCAAGGGATATCTTTCCATTTTCAGATATCCTGTTTGATCTCCTTTTTCGGAGTACTGTAATTTTCAGTGTAAACTTCTTCTACTTCTTTAGACTGATTCCTAAGTATTTCACTTTTTTCCTCATTTTTTTGTTATTATTGTGAAGGGTGTTGTTTCCCTAATTTTTCTCTCAGTGAGTTTGTTACTTGTGTACAGGAATGCTATTAATTTTTGAGTATTCACTTTATGCTACTGTACTTGGATTTTACAAGTAGAAGTATTTTGGTGGAGTTTTGAGGGTCTTCTCTGTAGAGAATCATGTCATCCACAAATAATGATAATTTAACTTCTACCTTTCTTCTCTTTACTTCTTTTATTTCTCTTTTTATCTAATTACTATGGGTAATGTTTCCAGAACTATGTTAAATAAGAGTGGTGATAGTAGATATCCTTGTCTTGTTCCTGATTTTAGAGGGAAAGCTTTCATTTTTTGACCATTTACTAAGATGTTTGCTGTTGGTTTTTCATAGATAGGTTTTATCAGATTGAGGTAAAGACCATCTATTCCAAGTTTCAGTAGGGCTTTTATTATGAATGCGTGTTGGACTTTATCAAATGCTTTTTCTGTCTATTGAGATAATCATGTAATTTGTCTTTGGCTTTGTTGATATGGTGTATTACCTTTATTAATTTGCATATGTTGAACCATCCCTGCATCCCCGAGATGAATCCTATTTGGTCATGGTGTGTAATCTTCTTGATGATTTGTTGCATTCTTTTTGCCAGTAACTTATTGAGGATTTTTGCAACTATCTTTTTTTTATTCGGGAGATTGGCTTTTAATTCTATTTTTTGGTTGGGTCCTTCTCTGGTTTTGCTATCGGGGTAATACTTGCTTCCAGGAATGATTTTGGGAATGTTGTTTTCCTTTGAATTTCTTTAAAGAGTTTCAAAAGTGGTGGCATTTGATCTTTAAATTTCTTATAGAAATTCAGCAGTGAAACCACCAGGGCCTAGGCTTTTCTTTGCTGGTAAGTTTTTAATTACATTTTCAATTCATTAATTGATATCCAGTTATTTAGAATTTTAATATCTTCTTGTTTCAGCTTTGGTAATTCATATGTATATAAGAATCTGTCCATTTCTTTTGTTTTTTCCATCTTATTAGGTACAAGTTCTCAAAGTAGTTATTAATGATCTGGATTTCCACATGATCCATTGCGATTTCACACTTTTCATTCCTAATTGCATGATTTTGCATCTCTTCTTCTTTTGATAAGGTTGGCTAAGGTTTTATCAATTTTATTTAGTCTTTCATAAAACCAACTCTTTGATTCATTGATTCTTTGTATTTGTTTTTAGTCTCAATTACATTAATTTCTCCTTTGATCTTTATAATTTTCACCATCATATGAGCTTTGGGCTTGTCTTGTTTTTCTTTTTCAGGACATCTGAGATTCAACATTAGGTTTTATATTTGAGCTTATTCTCTTTTCCTGATGTGAGAATTCACTGCTATAAATTTCCCTTGTAGGACTGCTTTCTTTGCATTCAATAAGTTCCAGTATGTTGTATAGGCATTCTTTAATTGTAGATACTGTTTAATTTCTTCTTTAATTTCATGTATGACTCATTGGTTACTCAGGAGGGTGTTTTTTAATTTCCATGTGTTTATGGAGGGTTTATGGTTTCTTATGGCATTGATTTCCATTTTTCTTGCACTATGTTTAGGTAATAAGTGTGGGATAATTTCAGTACCTTTGCATTTGCTTAAGTATATTCTATGGGCTTGTATGTGGTCTATTTTGGAGAACATCCCATGTGCAGCTAAGAATGTGTACTCTGATGTTTTGGGATGGAACACTCTGTATGCATCTACTAAGTTCATTCATTTACAAGTTTGGTTCAGTTCTGATATTTCATTGTCGATGCATTATTTATACAATCTATACTTTATGATTTCAGGACTAATGAAAAGCTTAAAATGTGTATGAAGAAGGCTAAAATTAGGAGAAGTTAAACAGATAAAATGAGATTTTTATTTTTGTAGTATGATTTTATACATATGATCCATTGAATGAAGAACATTCATCATTTTGTTTATAGACCCTGTATTTTATAAGAGTTGTTCAAGCCTCTGGAAATGCCTTTGGAATATCTTTAAGAAATTACGGGGCCAGGGATTTAGCTCAGTGGTTCTGTGGCCTGCCTTGCAAGCACAAGGTCCCTAGTTTGATATCTGGTACCAAAAAATTACTAATAGACAATGTGTTGTTACTTCTGAAGGTCTCTTGGTTTATTTTGACCAGATTTCCCAAGTGTGTTCATTGGAATTGTAATTCCCCTGTGATAGATAAAATTGTGAATGTCAACTTTCAGTTTCCAAAAATTGTCTTTTAATTGTTTTCTACTTCTTGAGATACATTAGGAAATGCATTACACTTCCTATTAATATGTATTTAATGTATGGGACAATAATAAAATATGCTTTATTAAGAACCATTTTATAAATATAACTTTAAACAATATATTTTCTGGGTATGAAAAATGCAAGAATTGCCTTTAAAAGATATTTAAGATTATTCCTATTTTATGTCCTTACTTAGATACTTTTCATTCAGTATTTATTTTTCTGTTTATGTTTCTAAAATTATATATTGGTGATTTTGAGTCTGAAATACATTTTGTATTGAAAGAGTGATGGTGTCGCCTCTCAGCCTTTTGACTAAAATCAGGTGCGAAAGAGTGATGACTACAGAATACCACATAAAGTAGCAATACAAACTAAACTGTCATTAAAAATATTTCTGTGGGAAAATGTATTAAAGGATATAGAACAGAAATTGTTATTTCTTATGGAGTACATCTAGTATTTCTAAAAATATAAACTTTTCTACATATGATTAAATTTTGATCATGACAGTTTGGAATTAATTCTTAAGTAGGTTTGCTTTTATTCAAACCAATTTATTATTATTATTTGAAAAAAGAAAATTAAATAAAAATACAATTACATGTGGGAAATATATTTTGGCAATTCTATAAGAAGTTCACATGACATAAACCTCAGAGAAGTACTTGTGAAGGAAATTACATCTATGCTGAGATCTGAAGGATGAGCTTCAGATAAGTGAAGAATCAGGACTAGGATGACAATGTTCCAGGTAGAGAGAACAGAACATACAAAGGATACAGTCTAAGAAAATTTTATGTTCCATGACTAGAAATATGTTTGGGTTTTGATTGGTTTGAATGGCTGAGGAAGAAGATGACAAGAGATAAATCTACTACAGAGCTACTGTGAGAAAAACAATGTGGTGCTGGCAAAAAAACAAACAAACAAAAAAAACAACAGGCTTCAAGATCAGTGGAACAGACAAGAAGAGGCGGAAACAACAAACACATCTTATCTTTGACAAAGGGGCCAAACACCTTCATTGAAGGAAAGATAGCCTCTTTAATAAGTGGTACTGGAAAAACTGGCTTTCTACATGCCAAAGATTAAAACTAGACTCATGTCTCTGACCATGCCCTAAACTAAAGTAAAAATAGATCAAAGATCGAATTTGGGACCTTGCACTTGCAAGGTAGGAGGCAGCACCACTGAGCAAAATACCTGCCCCTCAATAGCTAGAACTCTTGACATAGAGTAGGCAACAAATTCATGAACAAAACTCATACTGTGTGGGAAATAGTTCAAAGAATCGACAAGCGGGATCTCATCCTATTAAAAAGTTTTTGCACCACTAAAGAAATCACCAACATGCTGAAGAGACAACCCACAGAGTAGGAAAAAATTTTAGCCAGTAGTCCCTCAGATAAAGGACTAATATCTAGAACATATAAAGAATTGAAAAATATCAGATCCCCTAAATCTGAAGACCCAATCCAAAAATAGGTATCTGAGATTAATACTCATCTCAGATGAAGAAGTAGAAACAACAAATAAATATGTGAAAAACTGTTCAACATCACTGGTCATCTGAGCGATGCAATGGCTATTATCAAAAAATCAATAACAAATGCAGGGGAGGCTGTGGGGAAAAAGGAACCCTTCTCCACTGTTGGTGGAAGTGCAGACTGGTGCAACCATTGTGGAAATCAGTGTAGAGATTCCTCAAAAAATTAGAATTAGAGCTCCCATTTGACCCAGCTATTCCCCTCCTGGGTATGTTCTCAAAAGAATTAAAAGCATAATTCCACAATGATATATGTGCACTCATGGTTATAGCGATATAGTTTGTAATCTTGGAAAGAACCCAAATGTCAACCAAAAATGGATAAGAAAATAGGTTTTATATAATAGAGTACTACTCAGCCATATAGAAGGATAGACTTGAGACCTTTATAGCTAAATGAGTGCACCTTGAGACTATTTTCTTAAGTGAAATAAATCAGACGTGTAAATATCACATTGTCTCTCTGGTGTGAGAAACTGAAAGTGTAAATAAGGACCAAAATTTATAATAGATAATATGAAAAAGAAAGAAACTGTTCAAAATGAAAGGGAAACTGTGAAGGAGGAGGGAGGGAAATAGGAAGGGAAAAGGAAAAAAACAAGAAAAGAAGCAAAGCAATGGAAACAAAGCTTTTATATACAAGGAAGGAAGGGGGTGTTGAGGGGAGAGTGGGGATTGGGAGAAACAGAGGAATCAAGATGTACCATGTACAGGTACAAATTCCTTTTGATGAATGTGATTGTTATGTATACTTAAATTGTACCAATAAAATTAATTTTTAAAAATCTGGGAAAGTAATCAGGGTGTATAACATATATGGTCTCATAAACCAGATTGAGTAGTTTCAACTTTAAGGCCAATAGCAAGCTAGATTTTAAATGGTTTTAGACAAAGATTTGATTTGATTAAATTTTAATTTTAAAAAGAATATACTGAAGTCAGGAATGGGGAGAGGAAAAAGTGTACTCTTGAAAAAAATTATATTATTTTAGAGTAGAGTTAAGCTGATGTATTAAAAAAAATAGAAGATTAAAGAGGCACAAATAATAGAGAAAAGTCATAGACATCTTGATGAACTGTATTAACAATAGTGCTCTTTAGTGAAAGATAGCCAAAGATTTAATAGGTTTGGAGTAAATCAGTGTTCAATTTTAGGTATGTTGAGTTGTAAATGTTAATTATTTTCAAATGGCAATTAAAACTGGCAATAGTAAAAACAGAAATTTAGATTCTTAGTTTGCAGTGAAAGAATTCATGATGAAATTATCCTACTCTAGCATTCTTGCATGGCAGAAATCAAATGGAGCTGAGTAGTAGTTTTGGCGCTGTAGGTGGGTAATGTGCTATCTAGTATGTCACAGTTCTTATTCAGCCTTTTAAACTCATAGCATACCTGCCTGATTCCTGTGGACTTTTAAATTCATGATATTCATAATAAATTCATAATATTCACATATTACATGGGATTAGATGGTATTCTAGGTCAGAATACAAAGCAGTATCAATATTTAAGATAGGAAAATATTGAAAGATCAACAAACAGACTTCAGATTCAAATATTTTGTATTGTTTTGGGCAGAATATTTCATGGCTTTCAAACCATTATGGTGAATGGGAGGAAGAGAAATGAAGTGGGATAACCAGAAGAAATACTGAGCATTGTGTAGATGCTGTTATATGAATTTAAGTTCACTGATTATTCTAAATTAATTTTTTGAAATTTTTATAATCCAGAGTAATATTTTTCTATATCCTGAAAAATTCATTATACATAACAGAAATTTAATCCTTGTAAACATAATCCTACATTATTTTTCTGAACTAGTGAATTTTATAGTCTAAGGATCTAAGCGGATGAGTCTTGCATATAGTTTCATTTCCTAAACCATATTTCAATGATTCTCTTAATATGATAAATGAAAAAAGATTTCAGTAGACTAACAAGTTCAGAAAATATTGATTTGTGATAACTTTTTGCATAGAATCAATTCTAAGAAGTTTTGTAAGAAAATATATTTAACTTTGTTTAATTCAGTTTCCCAAACTTTAAGAACATGAATCGCTCTTTGTGTGAAATGTCTTATGTCTCCATTAGTTTAAAATGGAGTAAAAGTAGTTCAATCAAACCTGAGAGACAGAGGTTTATTTTTGGCTTATTGACTATTGTTAGTTACTAAAGGGTAACTTAAAGACATCCTTTATTGAAAGTATTTATATCTTTATGAAAGCTCCATTTATGTAGTTGTAGTATATATAAGTCAGTTTCAAATTTTTAGAGGTTCCTATATTTAGCAAGTAATGATAAATCTGATTTTTATGTGGAACTTTGTTCTTAAAACTGATTTTTAAAGATTGCAGTTTCTTTAGTGTCAATAGAGGAAAGGAAAAAAATCATAAAGAAAACCAAAAATTCACATGAATTTGAGCTTAACTCCTTAATTTCTTTACTTCAGTCTCTAACAGGAAGGTAATTTAATGTTTACTTTTCAATTACTGCTTTGAATTGATTTAACAGGTCCACCAAGACTCATCCAGGTCCAGTTGTACATTTAAGTGATAGTCCAAGAGATGAAGGGAAAGTGAGTATCATAATATCATTATACTTGCTTTTATTTTACTCATTCTTGAAAAAAGGTAATTCTCTTCCTCTCCCCTGTGCCCCCTTCTTCCTCTTTCTCTTCTTTTCCTCCTCTTTATTATTATTATTATTATTATTATATACTAACCAGCTCGCTCTGTTCAAAGCATTCAGTGTCATATGAAAATTAAAATTTGAATATATGAGTGAGAAAATGAGTAAAGGGATGAATTGCTGTTGCTTATAATAGTCCCTAACTAAATATTCAGTATCAACTGAAGCTAAATTTGATATTTAATTTGAATCTAGAGGAAGTTAACATGTAGAACAGTTTTTATTATCTAACATTTTAAGCTTGAATTTCATAATGTGATATCAGTATCATTAATCATTTGTCTTTGTTGTTTGGTTTTCATAGTGATAAATGGTCAATATTAAATAACATAAATTAGCCAATCTTATAAAAATGTACTAATATATAAAATGTTAACAGAGTACAGAAATAATCCTTATTCACTTTAATTATTTCATAA